AGAGGACTTGTTTGGTTCGAAAATTCAAAATTCAGAGTAGCTATAGAGATTTAGAGAGATGTCTGCATTTTGATAGTGTCAGAGATGGGGAAATGTTATTTGGGGGGGGTACTAAAGGCGAAGAATGTGAGATAGAGAGTACGGAGTGGATGGGGCTGTAACCAACTCTCTCGGGTGGAGGCACGGTGCGGGGGCAGCCGCGACGACACCATTCCCGTGGGCTTAAGCAGGATATCGTCTTTCCTAAACCGTGGCCACGGAGGGAAGGGAGACACTGCGCACCCCGTTTTCTTTGGCAGCTCCTTTCTTCTCCGTCTCGAGCAGAGGGCAGCGCTCGTTGAAGCTCTGACACCGCGGCACACGGCCGCGTGTGAGGGACCCCGGGCCTGGGAGCGACTGCCGCGGGTCGGGGCGAAAGCGGACGGTGACACTGCGGGGCCACAGGGAACATCGGCCCCCGGCAACAGGCAGGGCGAGGGCCGGGGGGAGAGGCTATACATCCCCCTCCAGCAGGCTGAAGTGCTTAACCGGGCCGGGAAGGCAGAGGTAGGGGATGGCGCTGCCCGGGTAGAACATAGGGAAGGGGAGCGGCAGCAGGCAGCGGCTGAGCAGAGCGCTGTCCTTGTATAGGGCCGGGAAGGAGAAAGAGGCGGTGGGAGGCGGCGGGGGCTCCCCTGGGGGCTCTGCTTGGCCCGGACCCTCGGGCTCGGCCGACAGCTGTCTCTTGAGCTTGTTGCGGCGGTTCTGGAACCAGATCTTCACCTGCGTCTCGGTGAGGTGCAGCGCGGCGGCCAGGCCAGCTCGTTCGGCGCTGCTCAGGTAGCGCTTCACATCGAAGGTGGACTCCAGCTGGAAGACCTGGCTCTTGGAGAAGATGGTCCGCGTCTTCTTCTTGCCTCCCGCCGCTGAACACCTGCCGCTCTCCCTGCTGCAGCCCCCAGAATCCCGCGGCGACGGCTGCCGGCATCCGCGGAACCTTTCCGTGGAGAGCGGTGAAACCGCGCCTTCAGCCTCGGCATCCGCACGGCGCGGCCCTTCCGCCCGCAGCCGCTCGCTGCCTGCAATGGCAAAACACAGCGTCAGCCCCCCACCCCGCCGCCGTCGCCCCGCATGCACGCACCCGCGGCCGGGGAGAGGGGCCGAGGCCGGGGACTGCCCACCGCCCTCCACCTTCAGCCTCCGTGGGGAGAACTCGTAGGGAGGAGGGAGAGGATCTCGCAGTAAGCATCTAAAGGATATCTCTCTGCCGCTGTGAATCGGAGTGGGAGGGGGCTCCCGGACACGAGAAAAACGAGGCCGGGAGGGACCTCTGAAAGCAGGTGGTTTCGAGAGGGATTCATGTCCTCCCACGGAGCCTCTCTTCCTCAAACTGCTGCGGGGAACGGAGCCCGCGGGTGTGGGTGTGCGTGTGCCCGCCCCACCCGAGCCTCCTGGGCGCGGTCCCGTTTGGAGGCCCGCGGCTAAACCTCTGTCCTGGGTGGGTGCCTGGCTGCGACCGGACTTGCGGTTCTGCCTGCTTAGTACCCGAGTCGCTGGAGCCTTTACTGGGGTGGTCCTCTGCAGGCCCCTCTTCTTCCTCCTCTCCCTCTTCGTCCTCCGGCAGCACGCAGCGGGACCTACCCTGCTCCCGGCCCTGGCAGAGAGGACCGGGCTGCAGGATGCTGTCGATGCTGAAGGCCGACGTTGGGGCTAGGAGAGGCTGTGGGACTCCGCGGCCGCCCCCGAGCTGCACCATGGCGCACCGAGCCCAGCCGCAGGAGTGGCGGCTGAGGGAAGGCGGCAGCCGGGGCGGAGGGAGGGCTGGGGACAGGGGGAGGAAGAGGAGGGGTCGGGGAGGAGGAGGGAGGGGATGGAGCTAGAAGGAGCCAAAGGGCTCTGGGCTTAGGGAACGGTGCAGGAGGAGAGGGAAAGGAAAGGCCGTGATGAATCGCTGAGAGGAGGGAGCAGGAGGGAAGCAGAGAGGGAAAGATTTGGGATTTTTTCTTTTCTGAGAATGAGGTTCCTTAGGCACGGGGGAGTAGGGCAAAGCAGAGCTGAGTGCCCTGCTCAGCACCTTCACTTGGGGAGAGATAGATCCACGGAGCCCGGGGAAAGGCAATGAGGAGGAGGGTGGAAATGTGGGCGTGATGGTTGAGGGAAAAAGAGATGAGGTGAGAAGGGCTGGATGTGAGAAAAGGCGAACGGAAGGAGGGATGTGGGAGAAGAGGGTTCGGAATCTGGAAGAGTAAAAGGTGGAAGGGAAATTTTGCACAGAGGACAAAAGTAACAAAGGAGTGAATGACAGAAGGTTGTCATCAAGAGGGAGGAGGCACTGAGCGAAGGGAGAGAGACAAAAGTAGAGAAAAGGAAGACGAGATATGGGAACGATGGGTTGGACTCGGTGGTCCTTCTGGCTTCCTTTAAACTCGGGCTACTCCGTAATTTTAAGAAATGCAAAAATGGGTAAGCAGAGGAGCAAGGGGAGCAATCAGCCCATCTCCACAGAGAGTTCCGAGCAGAAGGGACCCCTTCGCTGCTGGGTGAGCCCTGTGACGCCAGGGCACCTCGATCCCTCCCACGGGTGCACACCTTTCGGGGGATGAAAGAATTGCGCTATTAACGCAAGTGCTGCAGGTGCTCTTTAGGATTCGGGGAGCTCTGCGGTACCTGTAGAACTGCTCCCCACCACCTACTAACATCGCTTTAAAAACCTATTACATTGTACCAGCTGGGTGTTCTGCTCAGTTAGAGGTGTCACCAGCTCTTCCCACCCCTGCACTCCTGTGCAAAGCCACGGGAATGTTGTCACCGGCTTTTAAAAGGCCTTTTAGTCCCAATTGCGATTTTTCCACCACAAAAACTGCTGAGAGCGAGCGAGCAGCTCTTGAAAAAGAGTTGACAGTAGAAGTGCTGACAGACTCTTAAATATTGTTACGCCGGAGATTCCGTGAGGTGAAATTGGGGCTTCTTAAGGTTTTGGACCGCGTTAATCTTTAAAGCTGTGGTTCTGGGGAGAGCGGTTTGCAGCTCCTTTTCATGAAAATTTGTTACACTTTTGAAGTGCACTCAGATTTAATGCAGCCGCCTGACGGAGAGCTGGATTTATCCCACCAGGCGACAAAAATATAAAACCTCCTCTTCCATTAACACGGTCATTGGCCAAATGCCTGAAGTCGTTGCGTTTGTCTTGCAATGCCTTGTGCAAGCTGACGGGGCCGGTGGGGTGGAAATGTCCCGTTAAAGGAGTGATAGTTCGAGGGGAGGGCCGGGAAGCAGCGGGGAGAAATGTGAAGAAGCTGAAAAAATGAATTTTCAGCACGGGGAGAGCAGCCCAGGGTACAGAGAGCCGGGGGAGTGGGGGAGGGAAAAGGCTTTGAGACACCATCTCAATTCACTTCCCGGCCCCAAAAGGCCTCGGGCGAGGTGCACACCTCTAGAATGCAACGATTTTCCTACAGTAGAAAAAGATTTTCCGACGCTGGGATATTCTTATCCCGCGTTTTCTTCACGCTGCCTCTGAGTCCGAGGGGCAGACCTTTTGCATTTAATAATATATTCCTCTGTTAGAAGCTCGAGTCGAGAGGAATGGAATTATTTTTACCTGATAAAGCTTTTTACAGGAGATCGGTTGGCATATATATCCGCATTGCCATTTTAGCTCAGAGCAGGAAAAAAAAAAAAAAAAATTAGGCTACTCTCAAGCTAAATCTCATTGAATTGAAATCTGATTAGGTTTACAAAAAAGTGAGAGTCTGCCTTTTCTTGGCTTATGGGATCGGAATCACTTCATCCCCACTGCAGTCGGGAGTAAACAGGCCCTCTCAGGAGCATGCAGCCCCTCTGCAGAAGCCTTGAAGTTGTCCCCACTCCTCTTCTGGGACACAGCCCAGGGAAGCAGGTCACAGAGAGAAATGCTGTAAAAAAAAAAAAAAAAAAAAAAAAAAAACACCAAATTTAAAACTCAGTAGCTGCAAGTGTCACACAGAATGGGGCTTTTCAGGGGAAGTTTGTCTGAGCCGAACCTTCACCTCCAGGTACTGGATAAAGCCAGGATCAGGCCTTCTGTGACCCCAAGACAGAATATCCCTCTTGGAAAGCTTTTGTCAGCCCTTAAGGTCAATTTGAAGTCAGATAAATCACCTCCATGCAATGTCTGCACATGATACAAGAGATGTGCAGAGAAATCCTGGTGGGGATTTCAGAATAACGCAATACCTGGCTGCTCAAATGGCTGGGATTGCTAAGGAGAGAAGGGAGAGCAAATAAAAATGATGATAAGAGAAGGAGAAGGAGAATGGGAGAGAGTGGGAAAGAGAGAAAGGAAGGGAGAAAAGAGAGAGAGAGGGAGGAAGGAGGAGGAGAGGAGAGGAGAGGAGAGGAGAGGAGAGGAGAGGAGA